TTCGTGTTGCCTAGTCTTTAGTTTTCTATGTTGTGTCATCTGTACTATTATTTGTCTGTTTGTCTTTTTATTTTTTGCCATGGCGTTGTCAGTTTGTTTTCGATCTATGAGTTTGACTGTCCCTCTGGTATCTTTCGTCCCTCTTTTAAGGTTTGCTAAGGAAAACCTTAAAACTAATATAAGAAAAAACACAAAATAGGAGTTGACCATAAGCAATTTATGGTTAAAATTCAGATATAGCTTCAATGAAGGACTATTCGATTAGTTGCGGATACAACATTAGTACCCAGAGGTAAAGCAATGGCAAGTCCATAAATTGCCCTGAGAGGATCTGTGAAAGCTTTATTAATTGCTCATTTGTGTTGTAGGAGGAGAAGCGGTAGTTGCAAACTTTGCACAACTGACAAATCAAATAGGAAACGTCCGTTTCATGAAATAACTGTTGTTTTTAATGAATTTAGGGAAGAACCCGTTTCTAAGGATACTGTTTAGCGAAATTGTATAAAGAGGAGTATACAATGTGTGTTGTAAATAAAAACCAATATAATTCGTGCTGCAAATGTCAAAACAAGGCTGGCATGGTGTAAATTGAATAGGTACAACACTGTGGAGGATTTTTTATGAAGAGTGATGAATGCAAGGTGGAAATTGGATAATCGTGTTTTAGTCTGGAGGCGACCCGGCGAAGAATGGACACCTTCTTACTTAAGATGTTCGCTCCTATTGTTTTTGAATTTTTGCCAGATATTCGGAATCCTCTGGTTTTATCCATGTAGTACCATTAAAAAAAATTGCCCACTAACCCCTACTTTTCTTTTCATAATTTGATTACATATAGTTTAAAATGCCATCTTTGAAAATCTTATTAAATCCTTGTTATTTTTTCATAGTTTTTGAAAGAAAAAAGGTGCCAATGTTAAAATTAATGAAAAATATAGAGAGAATCATTTCCCCCAAATTTTCAATGACTTATTTCTCGAAAACAAGCACATGGACCCTTCATTTTTTTCTGCTTTTATAGTTCCTTTATTTATATACTACCAATTTATAACCGTCTTTATAAAAGCTTGTTATTTTGAAACTGAGTAGCGAACATCCTTAACTCCTGGCCCTATGACACTTTGACTTTAATGATCTGGTGCTGCGATACCTATCAAGGTATTAGTACTCTTACTGTTGTTACTGGTAATATTTATGCTTTTAAGTATATTGAGATTGTTGACAATTTTGTTTGGCCTGTAATTGATCGTCAGTTTGCATATACCAAGATGACAATGCCACGGTTCATAGAGCTAATTCTGTGAAAGAGTATATGAAACAAAATTAACTTTATGGTATTGAATGGCCACCACAAAGCAAAGTTCAGACCTTAATATTATTGAGAATATGTGGTGTAAAATTAAACTGCAAAAAACAGGCACATAATATCACCACAAAAGCTCAGATGGAGACAGTAATTCGTAACATATGGCCAAATATACCCTTAGAATTAAAAAAAAACTTGATGATTCGAACCTCAGAAGTTTGAGGAAAGCGATAAGTGCAAAAGGAAACATCACAAAATATTAGGTGAGTTCAGATCATTTAATTAATAAAATTACAAAGGTTGAAAGATGACAGGTGCTTGACAACTGTATGAAGCAACCATCTAGAAATTATCTTCACTTTTGTTATAGGTACAAAAGTAAATCATGTGAGTAAAATTCTGTAATTTTTTTAATAACATTCTGTCAAGTAGTTCATGTGCTGTTAATGACACCAACGTTGGAAGGGAAGTCGAATGTACAGATGTACAGATGAACAAACAATTTTTTAAGCATTTCTATCCAACTAAATTTCAGGCATCCATTGACCTTTATTTACTGTTGCCTTTATTTAGCCATGTTAAATATCTTTCTTGACCAATTTATGTGCAAACCATTACTATGGAAGTAAAAAGACAAAATTATAAATAAATACTTATTTTTATGTTAGTCAGACTAGTGAATTTACAATACACGTGTTTGAAGAATTAGCTATTTCAGCCATTCATGACCACGTGATAGTCAGACGCAAAACAATGGCCAACAACGATTCTGTAGTGATTGATTTGGGATAGATATCTGATATTTTTTTATATGGCTTGATTTTAAACTGTATACAAATTAAAGGTTTTAAAAATGCAGAAAAATTTCAATTGAAAGTTTTAGAATGAATCAATTTTTACCCAGCATGCCGCCTACGGGGCGTATTAATATATGGATCAGATATCTTTTATCTTCATTGTAAGAACTGACCAAAACACGTTCAATATAAGTGCGACGTAAAACCTGATATAAACATAACACCGAAACCAGAGAGGAGAAGGCAGTATAAATTCTGAAAAAAGCTGCAAACCCACCGAATTTATAAAGAGTTATTTTATTTTTCAGATGCCATTGAATCTCCGCATGCACACAAAAACAGTGATTGTGAATTCCTTTTGGGATTTTGAGTCGGAAGTGATTTTTTTATTTGGCCGCTCACAGAATCCCTTATATAGCCTTGTTTTCAACTGTAGTGTACTGAGGACTTGTTTGTGTTTTCGTCGTTTTTCCTTCTTGATATGGTTTTTGTAAGTTTCTTTCCGACTTTTGAGTTTTGAATGTCCCCTTTGTATATTCCGTCTATTTGTACTATCATAAACGATATAGAGAGGAAATTTTACCCAATCGGATTAAAGAACAGATCCTGTGTAAAAGAATCTGACAACACTTCATTTTAGTTTATATTTTAAAGACCTGTCGGCATCCACTGGTATTGTTGTGATGATACATACCTAAAACAATTTGGAGGCAGAGGCCTTATTGGCAGAAAATGTAATGTGTGTTCCAAACGGAAAATATATTCTGAATTATTATTTCCACTGTATAAATATCAAAAACAGATACTCTAGCATTGTTTATCATAGTTTTTATGTGAACTATGTCAGAAGGAACAACTATACTTTCGGGAGTTCTGAGGAATATCTCGTGATATGACAAAACTCGATATGAAATTTTTCTGTTAAAATATTTTGCTGTTAGTTTGGTTGAAGAACGGAGGAAGCTGTTCACAACATTTGTTTTTAGTCGTGAATGAATATTCTGCATAGAGGTTAAAGTTAAAACTTCTAAATAGCCATCCTAGACACCATACATATTTGGACTGAGAAGTCTGGAAAAATTAAATCTTTGAAATAATGTTCCCTAATGGAGTTGCCTTTCTTTGTGTTTACCAACCTATCTTAAAGATCAGAATTATTTTTGAATTTTTGGATGACTTTTCCTGCGTTAAAGGGATATATTATATGGACTGACATATGTAGGTCTATATTGTAGATCATTGATGCACCATATTAGAAATGTCATAGGTTACTCGAAAATAGCACTTAAAATCTGTATTCCCTTATCGCTGAAATCTGACACCTCTGTGCTGTATGAATGCATCGACGCCCTTGCATCTTACGGGTAACGCATTAATCAAAGACGGTTACACGTATGTTCGTATTTTTGCACAAAGAAATGGAATACACCTACATAAGAAATGATAATAACAAAAACATATTGATTGATTCACATCTTATCGAATTCGCCAGTAAAAGAACCCTCCAAGGTAATTAGATATATTATTATGTGTATCCTGTCAACACTCACAAACAAAAAGTTGTTGAACCAGGGTTATGTCAAAGAACGTATCGTCCTTTTTTCCAAAAAAGACGTTCATCGGAAGATACCAAGACCTTGTTGATAAATATTCCGTATCAACTTCACAAATGATACATGATGGTCTTGAAGTATAGATAATAGGTACTGACGTATTTTATCATCTTAATAACGTGTTATAGTGTTTTTATTTGTCTTTGTTTATTTTTAATCTTGACTTTTTAGTCAATTTTTGGTAATATGCTTTTGGCGTGGCTCGGTAGTTATATATCCTGCCATTGTGTCACTGTGCTATGGTCATTTTGATATTCTGATCTTTCATTTTTGCTTATGTACTTTGTCTATAGAGTGTCTATATACCATTTCGTTTTTCTTTGTTGAAATGGTTATTTGTTTTTATTGTGATTAAGATTATAACACAATGTTGACTTCTGTACCCCAATTTTTGACAACTCTACTTATTATGTTTGTTTTGCTCACACATTATTGTCAATACAATGGAATTCTATGCGCCTGTCATACATGTGAGAGTTTAGCTAGCTATAAAACCAGGATCAATTCACCATTTTCTACACAAGGAAATGCCTGTACCAAGTCAGGAATATGACAGTGGTTTTCCATTCGTTTGATGGGTTTGAGCTCGGTATTTTTGCTATTTTACTTTTTATAAAATCCTTTTCCGATTTCCGTCGCTGAGTAATAAGATCTTTTGTTATAAATACTGTATATCATAAATCTAACCACCAATCTGCAAGTCTAATGATAATTTGCCGTGTTTTGCTTGGTTTAACTTCGGGATGTTGTCCACCAAAATACTAGACAAGCAAAACTTTTTGGCAATTGGCCCATAGTTTTATGTCACTTTTTGAACTGAGGAGTATTCACAATGTGTAATTTAAAATTTAGCCCAAAGACTGTTGTTTATTAATGAAGTAATCAAGAGTAGTTTTACCAAAGTTTGGGTCATATAGTTTTATCGAATTTATATATAACATCATTTGAAACAAACCTGTATCAAATATTTTGACCAAATTCAATTGCCTGAATCTAGTCTCAAGTGCTATTAAAATTAACTCTTAAATTCTTGGATTTAAAGACATTCATAAAAATGACAAAAGATTATTAAATCTTATAAGTAGTATCATATTTTGTTTGAATCACTATATAATGACATTTACTTATCAAAACGATTCTGCTTTATCTATGTAATCTTGAGAAATACACATTTACGTCATAAGATTGACCATATATTAATCAATGCTGTAATGCTTACATAGAATTTCAATCTGCCAGTATGATGATAAGTTGCCTTGTTTTGGTCCTTTTACCTGTGTTTATCTCAGGATGTTGTCCACCAAAATCCTGGACGGGCAAAAACTTTGCAAATTATGCCTCTGGTCAAGTTCATTTAGAGGTAAGAATTGTTTATTCATTTTTTTTAGCTTAAATATCAACTAGTTTACGGACGTAATGAATATCCTGAGAAAGCATGATTTGCCAAAATTTAAGTATCGACATGATACAGGCCAATAAATCAAAGTTTATATTAGATAACTACAATAGTCCTAGCATCATCTTACCGACGTAACATGTCTAAACATATCTAATTCCCTATAAAATGTATTTTCTTTACAGATTCTTCAGGATGTCTACTATGATCACGGTATGATGACAGTTTACCAAAATCTGACTGCTACTGACGGGACGCTAACAAAACAAAAAATATACCTTAACTATCAAACGGTAAGTTACCTAATTATGATATATAAGTACTGATTCGTTGGGTCAGTGGTTGTTTTGTTTGTTTTTATTTGTTTTAACTCAGTAATTTTCCTGATTTGGTTCACCTGTCCTAAAGAACCATGTGAAATTTTCTCATCATTTGGGGTCCGTTGTCCAGCGTCCGTTGTTGTCCGTTCACTTTTACAAGCATCTTTTTCTCAGAAACAACTGGGCAAATTGAAACCGAACTAGCTCACAACCATCCTTGGTATCTAGTTTTAACAAACATGTGAATGATGATACCGCCTGCAAAATAACATAAGCTGCCAAGGCTAAAATAGAACAAGGGGTAAAGTAAAAGTATCTTACAGATATTGACATAGAAAATCGGACATAGGTAGAACTGTAAAAAAACAAAACAAAGTCTACCTACCATTCACTTCGACAAAAATTGTCGGACAATTCTTTGTAGGTGTGATTGCCTTTAATTATTTGACTTTCTTTACAAATTTCTTGCAATTTTGGCTATCATCTTTAACTCAATTAGAAAATGTCACTTTGAATGAAAACTATCCTGAGCAGAACAAGGTCTGCAAATAGTCAAAATGATTACAATTGCCAGTTTACTCCTGAAATAAGATATAAGATATTGCTATTAGACCCCCCCCCCCCCAAAAAAAAAACAAAAAAAAAAAAAAAACTATAATTTCACTACTTTTACCTAGTATTTTGTAAGATTTTTAGTAGATAGAGACTGCATACATTAGCAATGATCAGCAGCAAAGGATCAACAAATTAGAGGTTATAAAGATCCTCTGTCTCTCATCTACATCTTTCAATGGTCACATTCTGGTTAAAATCACCATTAATTTCAGTCATGTTGACGTATTTGTAAATCTTTTCCTGCTGATCATTTTCCTTCTTAAAGTTTCTACTTATCTATACGGAATTTCTAGACAATAGGCAAACAACGCAAACATAATGGTAGAAATCATTCTAAAAAATTTCGGCCATCATGCCTTATGTGTGATCTTGTCTTGCTGATCATTTTTGATGTTTAAAATTTCTATTTATCTATTATTGTTTTTTAGAGAATCGGCAAAAATACGAAAATAGGGAAACATCAACATTTTTGCAGCTCTTTGTAAGAACCTGGCAGAGTGCGATATATGAGGGTTTCAGACTTTTTCTATTAATTGCTTGGTAGGAGCAGTACTTGAATACTGCTTAAAAATTGAGTTTGAGTGAGAAAATATGAGTGGTTGCCATGGTAACGGACACTCTATTTTTTTGTAGTTAAGCGTGGTAAAATCTTTAAAAAATCAGCTAAATCACTACAATTCAGAGCCTGATTATGAACAGAATCAAACTGTTTTCATAAATTTTCAGATATAACTTGGTTAAAGCTTCATTTTAGTTAAGATTGAAGGTCAACCAAATTTTTAGATTTTTTTTATAATTTACCAAAAAATGCATATTTTCAACTTTTCTGAATCGTGGATTTTTGTGAAATTATCAAATTTTCTCGTGTGTTTTTAAAAAAAAGTGCAAATGTGTACAGCATAGTTATTTACTTAAATTATTAAGTTTGAATACTACTTTACCAAATTAAATAGAAAAATGCGTGGGACTCTCTTTAATTTTGTCCCCATAGCAACCATTTTTTTCCTTGGAAACAGAGTTATTATTCGCAGAATATTGCAGTATAAGAACTTAAATGTCCTCAATTGTTTTCAAACCGATAAGAAAATACACAAAAGCATACTCTAACTCTAAATTACCATCGTTAAGTGTTGCTGACTTCAATAGTTACCATGGAAACAAACATCATCCATTCAAAAGATGTATAAATGGAACTTTATGTGAAATAAATACATATGTAGAGGGTGTTTAATTTTCGAATAGGAATATGACTGCATGCTTTGCTTCACTCAGTCTTGTCTGTTCTTTTTCAGAAGGTTCAACAAATTTAATATGTAATGTAGCATTGGGGTTCGAGGGTTGGGAAAGGGAGGGGGCAGGTTTATTTTTTAAATCTTTCATAGATCCTTGAAAAGATAATTGCTGCAATGTTTGGTCGGATTTTTTTCAGTTCTTAATCTGATAATCAATTTACATAAGTTTATCAGATGATGAACTTCATGGGATTGCAATAGCCTACCCTGGCTTATGGTAAGGCAAGATAAATATTGTCCTTTACAAGTTGTAAGAAAATTCTTAATTTCCTGATGCAATAACTCACACACAAGCCAGAGATGTATTCCCACCAGCAAGAACCACAAACTTGACCTGTAACATATGATTATAAGCTTACCAAACAAAAATAGAATCAAAGCATTTCCAAACAGAAACTGAAGTGTGATGGACGGACGGATAGACGGATGGACCAATTGAACACATATTAAGTCGGGGGGACTTTAAAAAAACAAATAGTCAATTAGGGATCGTTGATATCAGAAGTCCAGTAATGGAATTCTGTTCATAGCTATTAACATATCATTAATAACTCCTGTGTTGTACTACTATTCTGCAATTGGAATTCTGGATCTCCGAGATAAACGAATAGATAATCATTCTGAAACCCTCTCCTTTCCTTTTTGATTGTAAACATGTAAAAATGTATCATTTTTTTAGGTGGAATCGTCAAAAAAATTGTGTTGCTTCTATCTACGGTTTTTTAACCTTTTCATGAATAACGCCCTCTCTTTCCTCGGACCCTGTATCCGTCTCTGTTACCTTTATAATAGACTGTGAATTAATCCCGAGATTTAGTATCAAATCACTAAGCTGAGAATGTGTGCATAAATACAAGATTAACAGTTAATTCAAAGTCAAATTACACACATGGTCTTATTTCATTAACTGCAACACTAGAAACAGCAGAGTACATACTAATCTTATTTTGCTTTGTAATTTTCAATGCTTTCTAGTCCCATCAAGGGGGGGGGGGGGGCAGTAAGTTTTACCCTTGTCCGTCTGTACGTCCCAAAATTGGTTTCCATTTTCTAACTTTAGTTTGCTTCAATCAAATGTTATGAAACATATACACAATGCTTCTTACCACAAAACAGAGATCAAATTTGAATTTTGGTGGCGTTATTTTAACCATTCCCAAGATATGCCCGTTTTGCTTTACGTTGCTTTGTTTGATACTTTTAGAATGTTTAAAACCGAGAACAAGATCAGTTTAGAACTGTATAGTTTGCCTAAAATGGCCTGGTTAACTGAAGAAATTTCTAAAAGTGACCATGTGATTTAAGGAGAACCCTTCTGGAGCCCTTTCTTTTCCTTTAATACATACCATATACTATGTTCGACTTTACATGTTCTACTTTATTTTCTAAACTAACCCGGCAATAGCAAATATATCACCTTTTCTCCTATCATAGTATATAGGTCGAAAACGCAAAAAACGTAAAAGTCGAAATGCGAAAAAAACAAGGCAAAAACGCACAAGTGCGAAGTCAAAAACAGGAAAACATGAAAACACGAAAACGTGAAATTGTTTCACTTCTTGATTTCGTGTTTTCATGTTCCCATGTCAATTACTGTCCCATTCTGTCAAGCATTCTGTATCTTGATTATAGGCAATCGTATGGCCTTTAGCAGTGAAAAGAAAACCAATACCATATAGTCAGGTATAGAATGACCCGATATATAAAAAATATGAAACAATTCAACTAAAAAAACTAACGGCCTGATTTATAACAAAACAATTTACAGTTATAGATTGGAATCATCTGCCACAACAAAAATTATCATGCAGTACAGTACAGGGATTCAAGAGTATGATCCCAGAATCTTCTCTCATCCCTATTTTCTATCCTTAACTATTACTGTTATCAAATGTATATAGTTTTATCTAAATGTTATTTTTCAAATGTACATGCATTATTTTGATTTTTGATTTTGTTTCTTTTTTTCTGGTTACCTTGTAAATTATATAAATTTGTATAGTAGACGCCCGGCGAATAATCTTAAATAATTGAAGGATCACTAGAAATTGAAAGAAGAAGAAGAATTTATGAAAAACAAATATGATTTATATAGATGATTAATATTGGAAGTAGAGAGTCTTACTGAAAATTGGTTTAATCCTAACATGTAAATCTCTTAAAGTAAATATATATTTCATTATCGTTATTACATAAGTACTAAGAACTCGTTGTAAAAATTAATAGTTCTTGAAAATGATATAATTCAGTCAGGTTATCTTCAAATTATGAATCATAATCCAATTAAACAAAAGATACAAACTGATTGACAAAAATCGGAGAGTCAAAATGCGAAATCAAGAAGAGAAACCATTTCGAGTTTTCGTGTTTTCAACTTCTCGTTTTTCGAGTTTTCGACTTCGCGTTTTTGCGTTTTTAACCTATAAAATATGAAAGGCGAAATCGCGAAAAAGCGAAATTAACTTAACCAGCCACCAATGATTATGTCTTGCTTGCTTTGCAACAGAATCAAAAACAAGAATTTATGGACTGCCATAATAAATAAAGAAAAACTCTGAAACAAAAAGAAACAAATAAAAAACAAGATTTTGTATTTTATGAAAAATTCAAATTTAATTCTATTACGGTATGGACAGTCCGAAGAGCAAATTGACGAACGCGCAGATCGAACTCACAATGTCCCAAATAATCGTAAGCGAATCAAAATGACCAAAACAAAACTGCAGACATGCAAGCTGTTTAAATATTAAAGCAATATTTTAAGAGCTGAAATTGTTAAATTTCAAATCTAGGATTTCTTTTCATAAGTTGATTTTTGTTCATAAAATTTTCAATAATAAAGCACCTAATTACCTTAAAGAACTACGTTGTCCAATTATAAACCTTCACAGCAGAAATTTGAGATCTTCTGCAAATAATAATCTAGCTGTAGTGAGGCCTAATACAAATTTGATGAAAAAATCATTCACATACAGCCCCTCAATACTTTGGAATAAACTACCAAATGAAATAAAACTATGTGAAAATCTAGTTACTTTTAAAAGAAAATGTGTAGATTATATAAATGATATGTAACAACTCTCCAACTCTATCATTGTCATTTTAATGTTTGTGAATAATGTATTATTTTGGTTTTTTCTTTTTCCACAGACAATCATCTAGCATGAAGTTTAGTTATATGTTAAAAAATTGTAATATCTTTAATAGTTGTTCTGTATGTTTTTTATGAGGGCCTCAATGTAGATTAGTGAATGTTAATTGGTCACCTTCTTTATATAAAGTCATTATTATTATTATTATCATTATATTTATTTTATTTATTTATAATTATATTATTTTGCCAAAATTTCGTAATTTCTTACAAGTGGTAAAGGACATTATATTGCCAGAACTTTCAATAATTGTATGGCCCTTGACAAAAGCAAGAATGAGATATTGCAATCCCCATATAGTCCATCATCTGTTAGTAACTTTTCATGTATAATTATTGATTACCAGATTGAAAACTCTGAACAAAACCTGACCAAATGTTGTAGCAAAAAGTAAAATAACAAAAATACCTAACTCTGAGGAAATTCTAAACGGAAAGTCCCTAAGCAAATGGTGAAATCAAGTGTTCAAACACATCAAACGAATGAATAACAACTGTCATATAATCCTGACTTGGTATAGGCATTTTCGTATGTAGAAAATGGTGATCGAATTACACCTGGTTTATAGCTAGCTAAACCTTTCAATTTTCCTTATAAGGATCTATGAAAGATTTAAACAAAAACTACCCCCCACAAAAAAAAAAACAAACAAAATTGCCACATTGTATATATTCAATTTTGTTGAACCTTCTCATAAAGCAAAGACATGACCTTTAGTGAAACAAAGCATAGCATGCAGTTATATTCCCATTAGAAAATTGAACATCATTTACATAATTATATGTAATTTTTTACATAAAATTATAGTATATATCTTTTGATTGGATGTTGTTATGGGTGATATTTGTTTCCATGGCAACTGTTGTTAACAATACTTAACGATGGTAGTCTAGAGTTATAGTATATATGCTTTTATGATAATTCTTTAAGGTTTGGAAACATTTGAGAACATTGAGGTCCCTATACTGTAGGATTCTACAAATAATAACTCTGTTTCCAAGGAAAAATACGTTGCTATGGTGATGAAATTAAGGAGAGTGCCACGCAATATTCTATTTATTTTGGTAAAGTAGTATTCAAACTTAGTTACTACAGTGCTAACTATGCTGTACATATTTGCACTTTTCGGAAAAATTTGATAATTTCACAAAAATCCATGATTCAGACAAGTTGAAAATATGTGTTTTTTAGTATATTTTAAAAAAAAAATCTAAAATTTGGTTGACCTGCAATCTTAACTAAAATGAAGCTTAAACCAATTTATATCAATGTTATATATGATAATTTTTGAAAGAAGTTTGATTCTATTCATAATCAGGCTCTGAATTGTAGTGATTTAGCTCATTTTTCAAAGGTTTTACTACGCATAACTACCAAAAAATAGAGCGTCTGGTACCATAACAACCACTCATATTTTCCCACTCAAACTCAATTTTTGAGCAGTATTCAAGTACTGCTCCTACCAAGCAGTTTATAGAAAAAAAAATGAAACCCTCATATATCACATGTATATGGCACTCTGCCTGGTTCTTATAAAGAGCTGTACTTAAGTACAATACCTTAAATAAGGAGTCGAATAACGATTTTGTTAATGTTGACTTACTTGTAGATCTTGTCTTGTTTATTATTTTTGCCATTTAAAGGTTCTGTATATCTATTATAATGTTTGGAAAAATTGGCAAAAATGAAGAAAAAATCGGTAAAATTCGTCGTTCAGGGGCAAACAACTCCTATCAGAAGTCGTCTGACAGTTTTGATATCTTAGACATTAGGTAACTCTCATCATTTGAACACTTTGCTCCTGTCAGATTATCTCTTTTAATAGCGCTTTTCGGGTTAACTGACATAAATTGCATCTTACCCTTATGTTCAATTTCTAGCCATGTCGGCCATGTTAATCGGCAAGCGGGATCATCGGACACATTTTTGAATCTTAATACCCATTGATGATTGTGGCCAAGTTTGGTTAAATTTGGCCCAGTAGTTTCAGATGATATCATCTTTAAAAGCAAACATGATCACAATGGTAAATTGACTCTTTTCTTTTTTAGTAGATACAGAGAAACTGTAAACAACAAAAATTACCAAAGAACAAAATATACAAATAAGTCAGCATTGCCAAAATCTTAAGATGATTCCTTATAGAATTTACTGCCCTTGAAAGACGTTTTTACACATTTTGTGGGCGGAAACTATAAAGATGTGGAGAAACTGAAAACTCAAAAATGATAAAAAAAAATAAGATCTACCAGTAAAACTATAGTGAGAAAAGGAAGAAACTGTTTCAACAAAAATGATCAGCAGGACAAGATCTTCTAGTAAAACTATAGTAAAAAAAAAGAAACTATCCTTCCATTGACAGTGGTGTTACAATACTAAATATAGGTAAACATTGATGGTCATAGGATCAATTCATTCCCGGGGTATCTCAACATTGCAGTAAACGAGTACAACTCAATTCAAAAGAATGTAACTTGTATTTTAGTAGTTCTAGATTCAATTTCAGATTCAGTTGATTATGATATATCATAGGATATTTAATATCTAACTTATTATATTATATATCCGTTATATCTAATGAAATGACATGTTTAAACGCATTGCATAAAATACCTCACAAAAGGATTTTTAGATTTAAAAAATATCGTGTAACAGTTTTCAGATGTCGTGAAGACTTTTTCGGGTTTTTTATTATTAGGAATCAACGCGGGTTTTTAAAATTGTGCACCACATTTTTTAGATTATTTCGAGTAGACAGAAACATATTGTTTATTTCAAATATTGATTTCATAATTTGAATATGGTGTGCCAGCCATTAAGATACTAAATTTTAATTATTTTTTCATAAAATGCTTCAAGTATCTCGACCCTTCTACATAGACATGTCTGTAACTTCATTATTATTTTTCTCTCAATCCACTAGGGTATCCAATATGTAGTGACTGGAGACGGAAGATGTGATAATTCTAGTATATTTTTTACTGGGGTAGGAGAAGATTGTATTCCAGGTATGTAGTAGTATTTAAGATAATGCAGGCTGAATACAAATTTGAGAAGGGATATGGGTCGGCCTTCACGTTTGTAAATGTAATTTTAGCGGCTTTTCTGTCTTCTTTTAAAAGCTTTGAGTTAACTTATATTTCATTGATGAATGTCATTAAGGCCAATATTTGAATTCATATTCCGAAGAAATTCATTTTCATTATATGTATGTGATACTTTGTATTTTCATTTGTATTTCTTAATTATTATTTTCATAGGTTATCACACTTTTTTGACTACAATACCCATGCCGCATGTTAATGACGTTCTGCATCAAAAATATCGTAAGACCCCAAACTAATTTTCATGTAATAGAAATGTATATCATTTATGTTAATAACTAAATCAAAAGAGGTTAAATCTGAACGTAAATATCTGTATGTTTAAATAATGGTATCACCTTGTTGACATTTATGTTTCTGAATAAATCTTAAGTTTACCTAAGACATTGTCCGACTGTTTTGTTTGTTTGTTTCTGTTTTGTTTTGCTTTATGAAATGGTTTGTTCGTTTTGATAATAAAAAACAATGCAAGATTTACTGGAATTTTACAATACACACGATTTTTTAAGCAAACTAGATCAATATGTATCCAAAAGAAAATTTAAAGTTTTACTTCCAGAAGAGTTTTTGTTTTGTTAAAGATAGTCCTTCATATACATTTTCGGACAATACCAAGTTGTTGTCAAAAGATTGTCGTTTTGAGCTCTCTTTAAAAATCAACCATAGTTGTGTAAGACATATTAGGCTGAGATGCTATAAATTTAAGTAAAAATTCAAAAAAAATTACGAAAATAATCCTGGTGTAAATGCAACGAAAATTGGCCCTTTAGTTTTGAAATGTTTCCCTTAGAACCACTAATTACCAACCAGTTGTCTAATATCAATAGGTGATTCATCCTCAAATGTATGACTTGTAAATAATTATATCATTTTGACAAATTTTTAGTCTGTCATTTTTATCAATTCCAACATGAGGAGGCAACAAAAAAGTTTATAGATGAATGAACCCATTTCATGCCGTCATATAAAAGCTGAAACATTTCTGTAAGTGCTGGTCACGCTGCAGACTTTTTTATTATCGGAAAATGATTTTAGTGTTTTTATACTTATAAGCATACTGATTATCTTAATTAAATTTATCGGAGTGTAAACTCGGTCTTACACTCAGACATTCAACATCATTTTTTTTTACTCGTTTAGTTTGTGAGTGAGTCTTCACATAAACAAAAACTCCTTCAAAATTATCTTTATCAATATATTTATTTTTACTAACGTATTTTGCAAGAAGCAATTTCATATGTGTCTTTTAAATACAAATTTGGCGTCATTATACATCAGTTTTGGAACTTTGTTAACATTTAACGATTTTGTTTTTGAGTTTCCGTTTTAAAACTGGACCTTGATAGTATTTTATCTGTCAAATACAAACCCAAATTTGCAATGTTATCATTACAATTATAGAGAATGCAACAGTTTCTAAATCCTACATTGGTGTTGGAGCAAAAAAGATACCCACCACTATGTACCGGATGAATGGCAATGGGTTCTTGACATACCTTTCTGTAATAGACGATGGATGTATACCACTTATGTACGAAACTACTGGAACACTGCCGAGTGGAGGTGAGTTTAAATATCTCTCTCTCTATCTCTCTCTCTCTCTGTCTGTTCAAAAAGTCTAAATCTGTCTAAATCTGAAATTTGTTAAACTGTGACAAAAATATACAATGTGCATCATGGTTTTGCTTTCAGCCAGTTCAAGCATATACGGGTGCCATATCGTTGAAACGACTTGTTGTCAAAATAAATAACAGAACTCGCTCAATATGAAAAACTTAACTTTGACCTTATGGTTTTGACATATCATCAAAATAAAACACAATGTATGATCATTCCGTCCACCAAATAATAACTTATTTAAAGTATATCTTTAAAAGAAAAACTGACACATAATCATTTACAAATGTGCAGAGATTTTCAGAATTGTTCCTAATTTATTAGGTCGAGATATCACAACTGTATTTTTTTTCAGATGGCCTTAAATTGACTGTAGAGTATTTTGGAATTATGGTTGTAAAGCCAGATGCAAAGATAATGAAAATGCCAGCGATATGTGTAAGTAGATATTTTTTTAAGCGTAAACTGTCATGAGTATCCTTAAAAAATAACTAATTAGTAAAGAATTTAACGCAATTAAGTGAAAATAGACTTCGTAAAATTAAGTAAAGATGGAATCACTAATATTTATATGTTTTGCCGAAATTTCAAGATCAAACAAGGTTTTGATAGATGAAATTGTTTGAAAATCGATAACTCTTTGTTGCAAAATATAAACATGTCAAAGAATAACAAAATAAGAAGATGAAGTATGGTTGCCAATGAGACAACTCTCCACCAGAGACTAAGAAGAAAGAAGTCAGTACTTATATATCATTGTATGTCTTCAACCATTAGCAAAACCGATACCGCATAACAAGCTATAGACGACCCCGAAATAACAAATATAACATTTGAAACGAGATAACAATTGAGAAAGAGAACATTCACACTCCGTATGTGTAACAGTTCAGGCGGCATTTCACTAACGAACAGCTTTTGTAATGGCTTCTAATTTTAAATACCCTCATAATGAAATGATGAATATCCAATCTTTAAATAAAAAAAACTTGTATTTTAAAAAAATGTTAGAATACGTATTTGTATGTACCTTTAATTAAATCTGCTTTATTTTTTCTTCAGATGATGTAGGAACGTCAATATTCCTGAAATTTTCAATAAACTGTATTTAGTTTGTATGAGTGTTTGCCTTATATCTAAATTGAGATCATCATCATTGGTCAAATACTAAGTCCCTAATATTAACCATTCAGCATTACCATGACTTAAAACTTGATGAATGCGATTATTAAGAAAAGTATAAAAGGGTGTCACCAATACCTTTTTTTATAACCATTTGTTGAATTGAAATTAGATTCCATTCCTAAGGCTTATAGAATTTGATTATTAATTAACAAATAGTCATCCTAAGGTACAATCGACATCAAAGTTGTGAGAAGCCCAAACACAGAACCTTTCAGGACACCAAACAAAATAACCCCTTAATCAAATCAGTCAAATAGTTTTGTTTTTAAATATTTTCTGATACTAATCATAAATGTATAGCAAATAATCATCGTAAGGTACGTTCGAGAGCAAAACTGCTAAGACCCAAAAACAAAGAACCTGTTAGACCATCAAGTCAATGCAACAAGGCAGTACACAAAATGGTGAATATTCTTAGTGATATGTTGACAGACAGGAACAGTTATCAAGTGACCTTGTTCAATAGATGCTAGACGTATTGATAAATGCAGAACGTCATATCTTTATCAAACAGGAACAATCCGTTCAGTCTATGGTGAGAAGATAAGCGACGGAAAATGATGTTAGTAATATTTCAAGGTTTATAATGTTTGACATTTTTGCCTTAAGTATTTGCGACGGTTTAAGTTGTGGAATTTCAGAACTTATCCTTCAGTTCTTCAAACTGTCCATTCTTGTACAAAATTAAAAAAAAACATTTTGGATAATGCATATCCCTCTGCATCTTAGTTTAGAAGGGCCGTGTTCCTTTGTCATTTATTGAAACCGTAATAGATCATTTGGAACAGAGACTTGGAAAGAAATTTAATATTTTAAGACTTGGAGAGTACTGAAACGACTGCAGCTTTAAAAGGAAATAGTTCCCAGAAAAATAATGCATGGAAATATTTGATACATCTTTTTGCTCAAAATATAACGAATGAAAAGTAATTGTTAAAAACTTAATTTCGTTCGAGGCGCTAGTTTGGATTTACCTTCTTTATGACCAAAAAGAATACACAAATCCATCTACGGATAACTTCGTCTAGGGAGTTGGAACCAAGGTTGAACCATAGTTTTGGATTATTTTGAAGTAGTAAACTAGTCTACCCAGTTATTTGAATATTGAATTCAGATTTCCCCAAAATAAGGTAAAAAATGCTGCTTATCAAAATCTGACCTTCAGTTTATACGAAAAACCTTAACTTAAGAATGAATATGAACAGGAAATAACACGTGAATTAAGCGCAAACTTATAAATGTTTTTATCATAAATTTCAATCTCATCTAGCAAATACCGATATTTTAACTTCCAAACCACAAGTTTAATTCTAAATTCCGACACTTTAGTAGTTGTTTTCAAACCTAAGACACAACTATATATTTTGAAACACAGCAATCATCCGACTTTAACACACTGTCTGTACGAGAGAATTAAGTCAGATTCCTAGCCGTGTATGTTTGGACAGATGACAAAACCTCTGAAATTGTTAAACTCTTCTACGGTGATCACGAATTGCTTTTCCAAAAAAAAAAACAGTTGTGAAACAGAACCATCAAAGGAATTTTTGAAAACTTAGGCGTTATGCCTTAATATATCCGTAACGAATTCAAGTTATTTGAATACTTGAATAACCAAGGTTTTGTTAATGTTCATCCTTATCATAGGCGTGTTTCGATGTATTGAAGGACAACTAATTTACAGGTATTAATTTTTTTTACCCGTTGAAACATTATGTTATCTTTTCTATATCAAAAATGCCTATAAGACAACCAAGTTGGTGTATACATGTAATATTCTTAATCGTCAGAAATCTAAATTTCTAAATTTTGATAAAGAATAAAAAATAACATTTCATCGGAGCAGTGGTTGTTTAAATCCTATAAAACAACTTAACGCACTAAGTCGGACGAGTAAAGCTTGTCTCTAGCGTCTTTAACTTTATTCTAGGAGCGAGGACATCGAAGAAGCTTGAAATCAGGGTAACAGATCGGTTTATCAACCAAAGCTGAGATGGAATAGTTTCTTATTGTTACGTATCCCTTGCCGTTATTTAAAACACACAGCCGAACTACAAATCTACTTTTGTCACATTGCATGTGATGTTTAATGGATTGATATCAGAGGACATCTTTCTTGTATTTGGTATAAGCAGTCATTCATTCATTTATTAAACGTCGTCATAGATATTCACTTTTTGTATTTTGTTTTTATTTTACCTAATATTTGGTATTATCTCCCGCATGCGTTAAAGACCTTGCTGGCATTTGAATTGTCTCGATTTTTGATTTTCAAGTTTGTGAGGCCTTTTTTTTTCTTTATGGGTAACTAGCAGACATAACAAGGTTTTGTCTGTGGTAAAGTAGTACGACTAAATAAAGGCAACAGTAGTACGCTGTTCGAAAGTCATAAATCGATTGAGACAAAACCAAATCCGGGTTACAAACTAAAACCGAGGGAAACACATCAACTATAAGAGGAAAACAACGAAACAACAGAAACACTGAAGTGAACATATAAAAAACGACAATGCAACAAACACAGAAACGAACTATAAGATAACAACTGCCATTTTCCTGACATGGTACTGGACATTTTAAGAAAAAAATGGTGGTACGACTTCCCTTGTATTTGTTTCACTGATGAAGTCAGTATAGGACAGTTATTGACACTTATCAAAGAATCTGAACGAGGAAAACATTGCCTCATATATAACTTGTGATACATATCTGTTTCTTATCACCTTCCCTTTTCATACCACATATTCCTTCAATTATTTGAGTTTTCCTTTAGTTGTTTTTCAATTGTTTTTGTCCGTTAGACTTTGCAATTTAATTTTGTCAGAATTATTCGTCATTTGATTAAAGTTATCACTCTGTATTTGTGTTTTTTTATTTGACAAATATATCTTCATCGTCTACCTTCCTTACTTCCGACACAAGACTGAAACCCGTGTGACATTATGATAAACGTATTTCATAACTGAAAATATTTTTACAGTTTCGATAAATAATTTCAATATATCCACATTTAATAGATACATTTTGTCTTTAAATCTCAAGTTCATAAAATTATACAATTGTGCTAAAGCTAAGGTTGCAACTCCCTCATGCATATGATGAGTAATGTATGAGGAGTGCAATAATTTTTATATTTAAGTTGTTTTATTTGAAGACATACATCTGAAAAAGACGTTCATGATCTCTAGAACTATTTAATAATCTTAGTTATTCTAGAGATGTGCTTAAACCAATCAGCACTGAATCTTTAGAATGTTTAAGTGCACATATAAATTCTAAACAACCTCATCAAAGATACCAAGTGAGTACTTTAAATATATGATAAACTTGTTTGTATATACCGAAAAAAACGGGTTTTCTTGTAAATCTTTGTTCTTTATATGGACTTCCATATGAATATTTTTCCTATAGTCAACTTCCTATTTCTGAGAAGAATCATTTCTCTCTTTCCCATCGTGATATGGCATTTAACGATCTCAATTGGTAGGATGTACGTGTCCATGGTCACATTATCATTTACAGGGGTTAGCTCCTAAAACAAAACATTTTCCATTAAGGATATGCTCAATACGGCACTCAACTCGTTTTACAGTCATCATGACGAATTAGTTAAATAAAGACAACAGTAGTATACCGCTTTTCAATAATCATAAATCGATTAAGCGAAATCAAAGCCGGTTTACAAACTAAAACCGAGGAAAACACATCAACTATAAGAGAAAAACAACGGAACAACAGAAACATTAAACTGCAACAAACGCCAACATACATAGAAACGGACTTTTTGATAACAACTGCCATATTCCTGACTTGGTTCAGGACATTTTAAGAAAAAAATGGTGGGTTGAACCTGGTTATATGGCTAGCCATCCTCCCGCTTATATGGCAATGCTAAAAATACCGCTAAAATGATAACACTACGTGACAGGAATACACTACAAATAAAAGCAAGAAAACTTAGAACGGAGAAATACATAAACAAATGATATAATAGTACATTACAACATGCAAACCGCAGAAACAACGGACACCTCCCATAAATTTACGACAGTACACAAAAAACCAAGTATAAAGTGCGCGTCACATGATTAGATCAACGCCACAAAAAATGACGTATTTTTTGTGACGTTTGTAGATAAACCGATACTATGTGTAACTCAAAACACGTGTTACAGTCATCATCACGAATTGGTTAACCGATACTATGTGTAACTCAACTCGTGTTACAGTCATCATCACAAATTGGTTATCCAATACTATGTGTAACTCAACTTATGTTACAATCATCATCACGAATTGGTTAACCGGTATTTTGTGTAACTCTACTCGTATTACAGTCATCATTACGAATTGGTTAACCGATACTATGTAAAACTCAACTTGTGTTGCAGTTATCATGACGAATTGGATAACCGATACAATGTGTAACTCAACTCGTGTTATAGTCATCATCACGAATTGGTTAATCGATACTGTGTGTAACTCAACTCACGAGAGACACTTTTCGTTGTTTGGTATCTTATGACACAAATAGTCGTCTGATCTATACAAAACAAACGAGTCGGGTAAATGAATTCGCACTGCGGAATATATATTCATAACATAAAACGTTTATCCTGTCGGTGCACAAGTTGGGAGTTTGTGTGATTCAATAAGAAGTTTTCTCATTTGGTATAAAAGGCGAAAGCTACCAAAGGGACATTCATACTCATAAGTTGAAAATAAACTTACAACGCCATGTCTAAAAAAGAAAATAACCAACAAACAACAGTACACAAAACACACCATAGAAAACTAAAGACTGAGCAACGCGAACCGAACCACAAAACTGAGGGTGATCTCTCAGTTGTTCCGGAAAGGTAAGCAGATCCTGCTCCACATGTGGC